CCGTTATAGAAGCAAAGTTTAGTCAATTAAAACTTATTTAAAAGAAGGAAACAAGGCTAAAAAAGTCACAAATTTCGAACACAAAGTGACTTCCCGCGAATTGTTATTCCATAATCTAGTATACATAGACAATAGTTTAGATTAAGATTTATTCGCAAAACTCGACTTAAAAAGGCGAAAAACAAACTCGGCTAAAATCTCAACATTTATACGAAAAAAACTCTTTAAAATGACAGCTAAATACATGAACTCGTACTTAAAACAAACACACACTAAAGAGGTTGAGAAAATAAGGGTAAATAGCTACAAAGTATTGTTGAATTTCAACGATTCTGCTTGGAATATTAACAAACAATAATTGTACCACAGAAACACAGAAACAATGATCGACTTGATAATCACAAACAAAGCCGATTTGGTGGAAAATATTAAAACAGCAGACACTGGAATATCCGATCACAATCTAGTATCCTTCTCTATGGATTTTAAGCCAAGAAAGGTGCCTCCCAGGATAGTAACTATAAGAAACTGCGAGAAAATGGAGATAGAAAAATTCAAGTTTGATCTACAAAATGCTCCATGGTCTACTTGTGAAATGTTCGAAGATGTCGAAGACAAGTGTTCAGTATGGACAGATATATTCAAAGACATATGTGAAGAACATGCGCCAAAAAGAAAAGTTAAGCTTCGACGACAAACATTGCCATGGATGAGCGGTGCATTGAGACACAAAATGAACAGGAGATACAAGGCTTTGCAGAAAGCAAAGAAAGAAAGAAACAACGAAGGACTGTGGAAAGAATACCGGAAGTTGAGGAATGAGGTGACAGCAGAATTAAGGAGAGCTAAATCAACCTACTTTGCGGAGCTTGCAAATTGTCCAAAAATAAACACACGGAAGTATTGGAAAATTCTAAATCAAGCCAGTGGGAAGGAATCAAACATGAAGACCATTCGTGCGATTAAGTCAGATACTGGCGCATTGGTCACAAATGATAGAGAGATAGCAAATATATTGAATAAGCATTTCGCAACTACAGGAGAAAAGTTAGCAGGTCTCTTAAACAGCCACTACGTGCCAACAGTAGAGCTCATTGATCGAATATCCCCAACCGTTATGGAAATTGATATACAGGAAGAGAATGTAAAAGAGAACTTGTTAAGGCTCAATACACATAAAGCGACTGGCCCAGATGACTTGCCACCGATTTTGCTGAGAGCAGCTGCCGAAGAAATCGCACCATCATTGACAGATATTTTCCAAACAAGTGCAAGGACTGCTACTCTACCCAGTTTGTGGAAGGTGGCAAGAATAGCAGCAGCAGCACATAAAAAAGATGATGAGAGAGACAGAGATAATTATAGACCATTATCCATGCTGTGCACTCCAAGCAAATTAATCGAGAAGGAAGTACACAAAATCTTAGTTAACCATATTGATATCAATCCTGGTTTACTAAATCCAAATCAGTGGGCATACAGGAAAAATAGTTCAACGGAAGCACTGTTGTTACATAGGACAGAGATATGGAGGAAAGCAGTCGACAGCAATAGAGTGGTGGGAGTTGTCTTCATCGACTTTAAGAAGGCTTTTGACGCTGTCCCTCATCACCAACTACTGCTAAAGTTACAGCGGGCAGGCATCTCTGGAAATTTGTTGTTGTGGATCCGAAACTACCTCTGTAACCGACGCCAATTCACTAAAATAGGACTGTGCGATTCTGAAAGAGAGGGTGTTGACTACGGGGTGCCACAAGGATCAGTCCTGGGGCCCCTATTATTCGCACTCTTTTGCGATGATCTTCCGGACTGTGCACGGCACGATGATGAAGAATTAGAAATGTACGCTGATGATACGACCTTGACTAGTATAGGCGAAACAGTTGACCAAGTGATCCTCAAACTAAATGAGACATTAGGCCTTGTGAGTGAATGGTGTTACAAAAACGGAATGACGGTCCATCCAGCCAAAACAGAAGCCATGCTCATTAAACGCGGAACTTTCGTAGGTCCTCTACCACCAGTACAGTTAAATGGTAGTTTAGTGAAGTGGCGTAAAGAAGTCAAAATCTCTAGGAGTGACTTTGGACAATAAGCTGAAATGGAATGAACACACAGAAAATGTCAAACTTGCATTCGTCAGGAAATTAAATTTGTTAAAATCAATGGGTTTCCTTCCAAAACATATGCTGGAAGATTTTTACTGGAAAGTAATCTTTCCATCCATAACATACTGCATTCTTGTTTGGGGAAACTGTGGTAAAACACATTTCAAAGCCTTGGAAAGGTTGCACACAAGAGCCGCACGTATAATCTACAGGTTGAATTGGGACATACCAAGCCAAGAAGTGATACATAAAACTGGCTGGAAAACACTGAGCAGTACGTATAAGCAAAGAGTATTAAGCACTGTCTACAAATGTTGTTACGGTGAGGCACCAGACCAACTCTGTCAGAATATAATTACAAAGAAAGATAACAATTTAAGAGGATTAGAAAAGTTGGTTATTCCAAGACCAGAAACCAACTTCCTGCATAAGTCAGTAACATTTAGGGGAGCAGTATTGTGGAACAAACTACCGACCAATCTTAAAAACGAGGAACGACATAATAATTTTAAAATGTTGATACGGCAACAAGATCTTGAGGCAATGGATTTTACCTCCTATACAAACAATAATGATCTGAACTATATCTATTTTTAAACTTTTCTAGTCATATTCTTACTATATATTCTTACTATTATTATTCTTACGATATTTAATTTATATATAAACTATATATATTAACATAGCATATGTAAATAGATTTTACTATACTGGTAAACACACGACCACATCAGCAATTTGCTGCTATTTTTATATCGTGTTTAAATAAATGTTTTTGAATTGAATTCAATTGAATTGTGCATATATTTTAAAAAATGGCCTGTCACTTTCATGCTCAAAACAACGAGCAAAGTTGAGAAAACTTAAAAATTTTACCGCATGTGTCAGTATTTTCCAAGAGTCTTTGTTTGTGTGTAATCCAGAACCAAAATTAGGCCATTTTGATAAGCTTTTTCCCTTTAAATGCAGCTTTTAATACTTAAAAACGGCCATTGACTCTCGCGCCCTTCCCCGCTTGTTGCTACTAGTAGGCTATCACTAATAGCCTACTAGTAGCGTAGCCAATCAGAACGCACAATACATGATAGTCTACTAGTAGGTTTATACTAAGAGCTGATAGCCGACGAGGCGCATAGCGCCGAATCGGCTATCGCTCATATTCAACGATAGTGAGTGGAATAACTGTTTTATTATATACACAAGGTCGCTATAGCTTATGCGCTATAGCTTATTTATTATATACACAAGGTCGCATAGCTTATTGTGTTTTTATTCCTGTAAAGGCTATAAAAGGCGAACAACTAGAACTTGCCGTTTTTCGTTCGCAAACGACGGAAATAGCGGGCGGGAGAAGAAAGGGCGTCGTTAAATAAACGCCTGCCCAAATGCCTATGACAAATTTGTTCTTCTCCGAAGAATCTTCGGAAAAACTTCCCATTGCTTAATCTCGTTAACGGAAGTAATTACGTGTCAGACCATCTTTATTTCGGATAAAACACTGTTCTCTGCTGGCAGAGGTCTCTATAAAAAAACACTGCTGCTCATGTTTTAAATAGTACATGAAAACTCTGCAAATCTCCCTAGTTGCCGAGCAAACGGCATGCATGATGCCGTTTGCTCGGCAACTGAAATATAAATCTCGACTATGATTGGATAATGGGTGACGGTGCTAATTACAAAACGTCAATCATCCTTAATGGGCGAAAACTAATTTGTCATAGCCTTTTGGGCAGGCGTTTCCTCAAACGACGCCCTTTACTAAACGCCTGCTACGCAGGCTAGATATGAGCTAATATCCTGCTAGTAGAGAACCAATCAGATTGCAGAATACCTTTTATCCAGACCTTGTGTATATAATAAAAAATGATGTTAATGGGAAATTACACTTGTACTCGAAGTATTGATGAAAAATCGCACCTGTGTTTGGTGAAATATTTATAATACCGTTCGTGCTATACACACTTGCGTTATTATAATATTTCGCCAAACACAAGTGTGATTTTTCATGTAATTTCCTATACTAAATTTTAATTCATACCTGTGAAAAATTGTCAATAATTTTTATTTCTTCTTCATTTAAAATATAAATTTTCAAGTTGTTTATTTAGATTTTGATATTTTTTATGTTTAATGCACGCGGGCTCGTATTCATGTCGATTAAATCTTTAATACACACACTGTGCTTATTCATGAATAAATTGACTAGAATGCTATTGGGAATAAAACTTCCCATGCCATTTGTCTACTCATTCAACCTATCTCGTTTCCGTAACAGTCATGTTATAGATACTGGATGCGGTTAAGAGCATTTGACTCGCCACTGCATGCATGTAATATTCTAATATATATGCATGCCCTACGATATATTTTAACAATAGATTTACTAAATGCGCGTCAATGATATTCTCTCATGTGAAAATTTCATAATTTGACCATATTGCCCGCACCTGTAGGCTGTATTTAAATAGATTATGTGATATTTGTACTGTATCTCACGGTATAAAGTACGAGATATTAAAACACTGAGCAAACACAAGTAGCTCCTGACGTTGATCGATGAAAGTCAATCCTGTTAGTGTTGTTCCTGTTTGCTGTTAACGATTCTTTAACGATATTTTATTGTTTAAAATATAGACAATTAAAATATATTTAAAAAAAATGTCAAGTCGCTGATTCATGAAGATGTGTTCCAGTATTTGTATTCAGTTAATATTCTTATGTGCAGTGAACATAATTTTTATTATGACTGGATTAATTTTAAATTCTCTCGTTCTGCTGTGTTTCTGGAAGTCTTCACATCTTCGAAAGAAATTATGTCATTTCATGATAATGGTTTTGTCATGTTTCGATTTACTTGCAGTCCTTATGAATCATCCAATTCAGGCGATTTTCTCCGTTGCTTGGTTGACGGAAAACTATGACGTTTTATCCAAATTGAAGATTTACATGGACATTAGTAAATTTTTTCTTGGCTGTTCAATAATTGTACTTTTAGTGATGAGTTTCGAGCGATATCTATCAGCAGCTTACCCTATCTTTCATCGGGCATACGTGACCAAGCGTAAACTCCTAAATATAGTTGCAGTATTGCTTCTTTTTTACTTCATCTTGGTGTTGATTTCTACAAATGATTTACTCATTTCTGGTCAAGTCGCTGCAACTATTTTTTTCTGCATTATCTCACCTCAGTTTCTCTTTGTCAACTACAAGTTGTTTAAAATTTCCAAAGGAATCCGGAGAAACGCAGTAGCACTCGATGGTAAACCCAAAATGAAGCTGAAAAATATTTCTAGTTGTTTCCTTGCAGTCGCTTGTTTCGTGGTCCTGCTTATTCCGACAATCGTATTCATCACTTTCGGTTTTTCAGAGAAACCAACGTTGATAACAGTAAGACTATCTTGGCTTTGGACTAAAACAATTATCTCCATGAATTCTACGTATAACTGTTTGATTTTCTTTTGGAAGAACAAGATCTTACGTATGGAGGCAATCAGGATTATAAATATGTTGAAAGAAAGACACCGCTAAAATTCCACATCGTCAGATAAGATTTAGGCAGTATGATCACACTGGGACGTGACGGAACTGTTTTAAAATTATTTGTCAATTGAGAAATTTGCGGTAAGACCGAGGAGTTAAGAATTGCTGACACGCCGGGTGATTTAGGACGGCTCTAAATTCGTCGGGTGCATGTGAAATAAATTCTGAACTTCACTGTATGGCAGCACTACAATTAATGAGCACATCCATGAATGCATGATATCCTACGTATATATTGAGGCAATCATGGTTACAAAGACATTGAGACCGTAGGCGTAGAAATTTCACATCCTCATCCAGATTTATTACGTCCGTGTGGAATAGACTAAGTTCACTTAGAATGTATAGCTCAATGCGTGCTATACACATGGAACATTTTTAACATTTTTAAGATGTACTGTACAGAATTATTATATGAAGGTAATAATAGACATGTTTTCAGAAACAAAGACCGTTGATATTTCACATCCCATCCACTGTAAATAACATTTTTAAGATGTACTGTACAGAATTATTATATGAAGGTAATAATAGACATGTTTTCAGAAACAAAGACCGTTGATATTTCACATTCCATCCACTGTAAATAACATTTTTAAGATGTACTGTACAGAATTATTATATGAAGGTAATAATAGACATTCTAACAGTGGGTTGTTTCTTAAATTTGACTCATTGGTTCACGGGTAATAATACTTTACGTTATTGCGATTGGAGATTAAAAAAATTGAGATGGAATAACAAATCGTTCTCATGAAAATAACTGATTTTTTCATTAAAACAAAAAAATGTTGCATTTTATTAAATGGATTGTAACAATAAGTATAATTACGGCTTTTCTTCCACTATTTTTAACTCAGTTTAAACTTCAAATGCGATATAATTTTGGCTTGGACCATCTAAGCTGACTGACATCAACTTGCTATAATTTCTGTTTACATTACATCGCAATTCGATGACATCTGGCTCAGATTTTTAGCATTCGTTTAGTATTTTCAAACAACCTGGTCTCTTTTAAAATACTTTAATTTGTCTTACGTGGTTTTCCAGATTGTTTTCAGAAACAAAGACCGTTGATATTT